TGGTTTTACACAACAAGCTTAGCTACAGTTCCTAAATTCTCATAGAAAGGTCACAGTAGATATTTTACAGCCACCATATACATAACTGTCAGATGTTTTGCTTTTTTATTTATTTTTTTAAATTATTCATTCTTGTTTTGTGTTTATTTTTTTCGTTTGGTTAAATAAACCACATGGAGCTGCATGTGCTTTGAATGTTTCATGTAAATCCCGTTTGGAATTAAGAAATAAGACACAAAACCATGGTGAATGAACGTTTAAAAGCATTGACGCATAACGCAATTTTTGCAGAGGTAAAAAGTCAGATTTTTTTATGCCAAATTTATTGTTTTTATCTATTTCCAAATCCATTTTCTTGCCTTTTCTAAAAAACTTTAATGACGATATATAGTGCGTTTGTAGATAATGTTTCAAAATCATTAAACTATTAATTTATATGTAGTTTCTGTAAATTAAACACAAAGCAATCAGAGATGGAGGTAAAAAAAAAAAAAAAAAAGTGTAATAAGTATTTTTTTTTTTAAGAATTTTTTCGGCACTAGAGGCCTTTATTTTTGACAGTGGGCAGACAGGAAGGAGGGGCAAAGAGAGGGGGAGATATTTGGCAAAGGTCGCTGGGTCTGGGACTCGAACCCACAACGGCCGCTTTGAGGACTATAGCCTCTATATGTGGTCGCGTGCTAACCTCTGCACCACCAGCACCGCGACCTGTAATAAGTACCTTTAAGTGAAGCTAGCCAGGAGCTTTAACAACCCAGAAAAAACAGATTAATTTATCAGTTTTGCCCAAAACCTCTACTTTTATCCAAAACGTCTATGCATTATAATGTTATGATTCAAAACAAACAGAAGCTGCATATCTATTTCACATATTAAAATGCTTAATTGTAATGAATGTAAGCTATTCCATGAGGAAGTTTCTGCAACGTTCTGCAGGCAGGGACTTATAAGAGATCAAGTGACTGGGGCTAGTAGGAGAAAATCCCCCGTCGTGTTTCCATTTTTCATTGCTTCACGTTTGCAAAGGAGGCAGTAGGAGTTCATGAATTGGGTGGGATACAAATGATCCAAATGTAATCAATCATGTAGTGATGGCAAAGCTTTGTGCAAAATCACAGTTACTGCTATTCGAAGGATAAACATATATTGAAGTATCGTTAATTAAACTCCAAGCATTCCAAGCAGACGTGCAGCAGCATTGTATCCTCATTTTCAGAAACTCTGCAGTCCTCAAATGCACATTCAAGTCTCTAAGTCCTCTATGCAAATGAAGCAGCCTCAAACTTGGCATGGATAGAGGTTGATCCAGTAACAGTTCTAGTGCCCTGCAATTATCAAAAAAACCACCCTTAGTTTGTCCCTTTTGACAACAAACAGACACCACAACCATGAAGACAAGCTGACATCACCACCACATGCTCTGTCAAGTTTTCATTTTAGCCAATCAGGGACTGAAGAAAGTAATGCGAAGAGAAGAAAACAGTCCTTGAGCTCTTCAGGGTGGTTTGAGGGTAGATGGAGAAGACGGTGTCAATGCAGAGGTACAAAAAGGTCGAGCAGCTAATAAGAAAAATAAGAAAAACAAAACAAATGCATAAAATAACTTGAGAGCGTTTCAGGACAAAATACCTTCTATATCTACATCGACAACCAGGAGTACCTTCAGAGACTCACAACATAAACAAAAAGACGTTCAATCGAAACCGGTTCTGTTACTTTTATTATAAGGAGAAAAAAAAAAAAAACAGACACTTACCAGACAATAAATAAAATAGCTGCTTAATTTGTGTTTTTTAGTCAACTACCGAGGATGTCGACTGTAATGTGGGAGAACACATTGGCTAAGATGAACATGTTTTGACATGCTTCATTAAAATCTGCCATTGGTCATTATATCAAGATAATATTGATAATTAAATACGGTTTTATGCAATGAGGTAGCAGCTTAAATATTTTAGCCTAATAATATTGGGGTTTGTGGCCATTACCATTACATTCATATTACAGCAACAAAAACAAAGCTTTATTATAGATAGTCTTTGTGATATTTCACACATCACTTACTGTCCTCGATTTTCATATATTAATCCAATACTGTTAGTTGCATCATGCTTATGAGCTAAATTTCAAGTTGAGCTGCAGCCAAAAGCCATCCAATGATCTGTCTAAACCAAACCGTTCTGGTCACTTTTCAGATCTTAATTGTTTTTTTCTATTTAGCTTACTTTGGCAAATCGGGACTACTATGCATCATTTGGTAAATACAAATCTGACTAAGCAACGTTCACATGTGGGGTTCCTCAAGGTTTTATTCTCGGGCCTATCCTTCTCCCCAAGTATAAAAGCTAGGAACTGATATATATGATGTATTAAACGGTTGGGTGCTATAAATCAGGACTGAAAACATTATTGTTTACTGCAGTTTTCTTGTCTTACCTATTGGTTTATTTTAAATTTGCATTTTAACATTACAAGCATTTTTAAAGCTTACATTTACAATTATTGTTTAAATGTGTTTCTTGTTTTCAAATGTAATTTCCTTACATTTGTGACTTTATTTCCCTGTAAAACACTTTGAATTATGTTATGGATGAATGCAAATTAATCTGACTTGCCCTACATTTGCTTTTGTTGTACTTGTTTTAAAGGTGCTATGTAAATCGCATTTGATTAAGCTTCATTAGGCACCAAAGGAAGCAGAGCATGGAATATTAGAGATGGGATACAGAAGTCCCACTAACACCAACTCAATGTTTTAAGGTCCAATGGCCTAAGCCTACAGGATCAGTTGTCCATCACAGTACATAATAACAGATGTAATTCTTCCTAAAAGATGTCTCAAGCCATTCAATCCTTCAAGTTCAGACATGTTTTTATCAAATCTGGACACACCTTGTCCATTATTCTTCTCATCCCAGTCTTAAAAAAGGCTTTTGAGAGGTGGGTCCCACTACAACCAATGACTTGGGTCCCGTCAAACAATCAGGCAAACAATCAGTCCCAACTGTCATCTGTGTCTGGATAAAAACAACTCAAGTACGAGCCGCGCCTGATCCAGTTATGAAGCCTCGACGTCATCAATGGGATTTGGAGACAATGCATGAGAGGTCAAAGTAGTAGGAACAGTTGGCAAAAAGGCAGACATGAGATGTAGAGCATGAGATTATTTTGTGGAGTCTGAAATACTGCTGCCTGTGAGCATCATGTGACCATTTGACAATGGGAAGAGCAACTGGCCTTTGCCGTTGTAGACATGAATCTCAACAAATTAAAAGCCAGAAAGTCAAAAAAGCTCAAATACGTCCTGTTAAACAAAGCTGGAGAGAGTAAAAGAAGGCTCACCACTCAGTCAATACGAAGAACTGAAATAAAGTTCTGTAACAGAGGAACATTTGTTCAACTCCAGCACATTAGACAAGTTGCAACAGGTCGCTTATTGACTGAATTTAATAAATTACCCATTCCTTATTAACTATTCTTTCATCACCTCTTAGTCAAAGGCAAGAGCCCCAGTTTTACTGGAACAGCCTGCAGGTTTGAAGCATATGGGAAAGCTCAGTGCCAAAATCTGCCCCAAATGATAAAAAGAACATCATCATCAGCAAAGATAAAAGCAGGGAAAAAAAATGAGACCAGAGTGAAAAACCCTGCACAGTCAATTTATGGTAGCCTGGTTGTATTTGCCATGTGCTACTTCTATACAGCTGTTGTTGCTACCTGATATGACTGCATGCTACATCACCCATAGTGGTTCAAGGCAAACAAGTTGTACAACATGCTGTATGTTGGGGAAGCTGCAATTTACTACATGCAGTTAAACAACCCAATTATACAAAAAGCTCAGCAGGCAAAAAAAAAAAAGTTTCTTTAGTTTCAATTTTCCCTGGTCTATAGAAACCTTTACTTACAGCTTATGTTATTCTTATAGTATCCATTAGAGGTGCACAATATATTGAATCACAATTATCATATTGCACAGATTAATATTGCACCAACAGTCACAAAAGATTTCCTCGATTCATTTCAAATCAATTAAAAATGCTTTTTTAATCCCAAAAGAAAATTAAATATCATCCTAATTCATATTATCCAAATTTCTTCAGGGACATTGTTGATGCTGATGGCTGTGGCCGGTTGTATCAGTCTGGTGAATAGGATGCCAGCCTTCATTATCAGCAAGCTATACCCAACATCTCAAATATATACATACATCCCCACTAATATTTGGTTAAATGTCCCTTAGCAAGTTGTGACTCGAACAAACCCTATTTGTGGTCATCATCAAGCTTCCAAAGTAGATTTTAATGTGTAGTTGGGACCATGGGAGCACAGTTTTAAAATTTCAACCATCTGACCCAAACCTTAACCTGTTGCAAAAGAAATTAGTTGGGATTTCCTGGAACAACCCAAGAACCATCAATGTTCTGGCCTTCCATGAACAAGAAAATGCTAGACCAGTGTCACTCTCTGGTGGCAAGCCAGTTTTACATGATCATGGATAAAAATGGGTGCTGACCATTAAAGGTCCCCGTATAGACAAGCCAAAAGTCCTCATTAGAACATATTATGGTTACATGAAGATTAGGGCATTTGGAGGAATCAAAGTGAGGCTAAGAACAGTCAGGCATAGTGGTGGTAGCCTCATGCTGTAGGCTGTGTTTCTGCCAATGGTACTGGTGCATTTCACAAAGACATGTAATAAAGAAAATGGGGTAAGTCCAAATTCTTTATCTTTACCTAAAAATCAAGAGCTGCTCAATAGTTGAAACTTAAAAATCAAACTAAACTTGTTGGAATTTAGTTTGAAACCCAGATATGTGCTCCAGTGGCTGAAAATTTAGCTGTGTCTGGTTTCAGTGTCATTCACTTACAACCCAAAGCTCTAAACTGACCAGATTTCATGTGGTTTGGGATTTTTTGGGGTCAAAGTACACACCACCGAATTCCAGTAGTATGACCAGTAACTTTTATCATTGAGCTAGAAATCAAGCCCTCACTGTGGGATGTGGACACATCTTGGGGGACTTAACAGACCTGCATAAACAGAAAACAGAACAAACAAGCCCTGGCAGGAACAAAAAGACCTCACTGATGCATTACAGATACAGCTAGAAGATGTTTATTACATTGAGAGCCGAGAAACGTCTGAAAGTGGAAACAAAACTATTTATGGCACCTGTTAATTATTGTGATAACTAGGACTTATTTCTTCTTTCTCGATCATTTTTGCTATCTAAAAATTGCATGAAGGGAAACCTTGAGAAGGCCATCAAGCGCTTTGTAAATGTCCTACAATAAAAGAGGACAAACTTAGGCTTTCAAAGCTGAAAGATAAGAGAGAGGAAGGCGTCCTTTAGGACATGGTGAGGGAGGAAAGGAAGCTGGGATGAAGAGATGAATATGAGCAGAAGGGAGGAAGAAGCTTTGGGAGGTGGGAACACCTAATCACAGCAGTTTCCCTGTCTACGTTCTGGAAATAAACTAGAGGATGTTTGCACCAGTAAAATGGGATTATTTCCTTGGTATCTCAGACATATTTGATAAAACCACGCTCTGAATCTGACTTACAAAAGTCTCATGGGACTAATCTGTGCAGATTTCATCGGGAATTCCCATCTGATTGCAAATATCAAGCCAAATATTAGTCAATTAATACCCTGTTATCCTCATACAGATAAAAACATGTTTTTACCAAGTCAAGA